GGTTATCTCTCTTCTTCCATTCTTTATTTCAACAAATACATATTCAATATCAACTGTGTACTATTCACTGTGCTAAGCACTGGGTATTGTAAAAGAAAAACAGCAAAATGGAGTTGATATTGTCAAGAGGACAATTTAAAATGGAGTCAGGAGACCTCCAGAAAGCTAAGCTAACACATCCCCTCTATGTGAAACTGACCTTTTGAACTGAGCTAAAGCACAAACAGCTACATCTTGATACAGTTCCTGGGACTGGTTCTGTAATACTAAATTCTCTATTAAGAAATAAACTTTTGGCTATAATCAACAGGACAAGTAATAACAAATATTGGAGAGGATGTGGAGAAATAAGAACCCTCATACACTGCTGGTGGGACTGCAAATTGATATGGCCACTATGGAAAGCAGTATAGAGGTTCCTCAAAAAACTAAGAATTGACCTACCATATGATCCAGCAATCCTTCTACTGGGTATTTACCCCAAAGACTTAAAAACTCATGTTCGAAGATATTTGCACACTGATGTTCATAGCAGCATTATTCACAGTGGCCAGGACATGGAAGCAACTAGAGTGTCCTACAATAGATGATTGGCTAAAGAAGCTGTGGTACATGTATACAATGGAATATTACTCATCCATAAGAAGAGATGAAATACTATCATTTGCAACAACATGGACGGACCTTGAGATAGTCATACTAAGTGAAATAAGCCAGACAGAAAATGTTGAAAATCGTATGGTATCACATATGTGGGATATAAACCTAAAAGCAACTGATTGACAGTATACACTAGTGAACAAGACAGAACTGGTACCTTCACTGAGGAACTTAAGAGTTTGGTGGGAGAGAAAGACAATAAGCTTTTTGGCAATGGTGCCAAGATGATGCAATGGAGACAGAACAGTCTTTTCAACAAATAATGCGGAAACAACTGGATAGTCACGTGCAAAAGAATGAAGTTGGGTCCCTTCCTTATACCATACATAAAAATTAAATCAAAATAAGTCATGGACCTATCTGTAAGAGTTAAAAATATAAAATTCTTAGAAGAAAATATAGAAGTAAATCTCGAGTATCTTGGCCTATGAATGATACCTTTTTTAGGTATTATACCAAAAACACAAGCAACAAAAACAGATAATAAAAAGTGATGGCAGGGATGTAGAAAAACTGCACACCTCATACATCACTGGTGAGAATATAAAATCGTGCAATAGCTTTGGAAAAATTTGACAGTTCCTCAAAAGGTTAAACATAGAGCTATTATATGACCCAGAAATTCTACTCCTGAGTATGTACCCAATAGAAATGAAAACATATACCCACACAAAAATTGGTACATGAATGTTCACAGCAGTATTATTTATAATAACCAAAAAGTGGGAACAATCCAAATGTTGAGTTGGGAGGAAGGGAGAATGAGAAGTGACTGCTAATTGGGCATGGGACCTTTTGGGGATGGGTGATTAGAAGGTCCTAAAATTGACACTGAGTGCTATTTTGTAAAGGCATAAAATGTATAAGGTAAAAAGTAAAAGATTATCCAAGACTGAACATTTATTATTTAAAACACAGTGTTTTTCACTGAGTTGGTCAGTCATTTTACCATAGAACATTTGCTATCCTTAATTTCTAATGTGAAGTTGAAAAAAACTGAGGTACAGAAAGGCTAAACACCTTACTAGCTTCCACAACTCAGAGGTTAGATCACATAATACTTTTAACTTTTAAATTCCAATTTATTTTAAGATGGGAAAATGAGTTTCTTCTGAGCCATTTAGATTGTGATTTAAAGTGTAAACCAAGTAAAAATTTTCTTCAGTATAGCTGCTTCAAGACAATGAAATACCCAATTATTGCTTTTAAACACTCTGTTAAGATTACTGAGAAGTTTTTACTTTCATCGATAGCTATTTATCATTCAGGAGAAAAATTTACTCTCTTGGAATGGTTTTAGTGAGTTCTCATTAGAAAGAATTGATATATGTAATTTTTTTGGTCATTTCCAGTCCTATAAAAATAAATATTTTCCATCCAATTGGCTTGTTTATTTGCCTTACCTGTAGTATATTTTCTTCATAGTACATGGCAAGCAGCTAAAACACTGTTTGTAGATCTTGTTCTCATCTGTTTCTAGTTCCAATCCACATTTTGCACAGCCAGTATATATAATGTTCGGAAGAGAAGAGAAAATACTCTTCAGAGAACTGTGAGCATTTAGAACTACTTTCTGAGCTGCTGTAATAGGAAACACTAGCTCTAAAATCAGGGCTTTGATTAGAATCACTCCTACAAATGACAAACACAAAAAAATAGTATAAATTGTAGGGCTAAAATTATAACTTTAATTTACAAACATGGTTAATTATGTAGTTGATTTATAGTTACTTATACTAAAGGATACACTCAAGGTCTTGTTCTTGGTCTTCTCTTCTTAACTCTTTTCCTAGATAATCTCACTCACTGATGGCATGAATATTGATAGTACAATATAAGGGGTGATCTGCCTAGACCTAAAGATTTATTTGGCTAATTTGACTGAACAGGTGTATGTTTTCTTTCTCCCTGTCCTCTGAAATCATGCAAAATAAGTTTAACCTCTCTTTTAGGAGAAATCCATTCAAACACTTAAAACTAGCTAATATACCCTCTCTTCCTGCTATCTACATCCTTGGTACCATTAATTACCAGAGCTGTGACCACTTATTTTGTCATTGCTCATGATGTTGACTTTTACTTTAAAATCTAATTCTAGGTCTTTAATCCCAGCAGGTAGTTTTTTTGTGGAAGCAGTAGATGAGCGTTGACTTCTCCATGACACTAAATTAAATGTAGCCCTCTACTGCCTATGGCATTCCTTCTTGCAGTGACCAGCTCCATAAGCCTGTGGGGATTCAGGACAGAGAGCTGGGGGCCAGCACAGGAGATACACACAAATATGAAACTGTTTTAGGAACTACAACATTACCCAAGATTTCACCAGATAGTATAAATTTAGAGTCTTCTGTGGCCACAAGGAACTTACTTCCATTTTTGAAAGTTGTATAAAAGTTTAATAGTATAAAAATTTATAAATTTTCTATCACTTGTACTTATCTTCCAGAAAAGTAATTTTAAATTAACTATTAGTATTAATAAACGTGTCAATACAGAACTGAGTATATAGAGATCTTCTCTGAGAATTAATTTCTGTATTCCATTAAAAGTTGGGTTTTTTGAGAGGTGTTATTGTCTTTGTTTCCTATTTGCATTCTCCTTAGCTTAGTTTTATGACATAATAATGCTAATGTCTATAATCATATTGTATAAAACATATATACATACCTATGTGAATTAACACAACTTGTAAAATTTTAATCTGATATTCGGCCAAGGTAGACTAAGGGAGTGCATTGATGCTCCAACCTTATAAAAAACGAATATTTGTTCTTTGTCCCTAGTCCTGGCACACAGCTCCAAAAACTCTTGGAAACTCTAGAGTGCTAAGAGATGACTAAGAGCCCATAAGTACCTTCAGAATAAGGGCTGGTCACCAGAAAGGCCAAAGCATGATTAGAAGGTTGGAACTTTCAAGCCTATTCCACAACCTGTGAAAGTTTGAGTATATCACCAATGGCCAATGAGTTAATAACCATGCCTACATAATGAATCCTTGATTAAAAACCTTAAATAAAAGGGTACAGGGGTGCTGAACACACAGAGGTGCTGGGAGAGTAGTGCACCTGGAGAGGACATGGAAGCTTCATGCTCCCTCACTAATCTCTAGTGTTCAAAAGCAGATTGAATTAAATGATGAGCTGCTGGTAACTATACATAAAAAAGTTTAAGTGATCCCTAATAATTACAAATTAACCTGAAAAAAATGTAGGCAAAAAGCTGAGAAGAAGATGCCAATATCTAGTTCAATTATCTACAAAGATTTATATTTCACTTCCATATTCAATTACATATTTTTCCTGCAAATGGTAGCTTTGCTTATATTAAAACTAGCATACCTTATATATATAGAGATCTTACCTGAACACTTATCCTCTAAGTGTGTTGCTAAATCTGACATCTTCACAAAAGAGGGCATGCTGTTTTGAAATTTTGCTTTAAATGTAATTGCCCTTATATCGTCATCAAACAGGCACTCGCAGGATGACCAAGGTGTTGTATGCAATTCTAGGTTTTCCAGGATGCAATTGCGCTGAACAAAAAGATATTTAAATTCCCAAATATAATCTTAAACAAACAAAAACAAAAAGTTACCAAAAGGGAAATAATCTAGGCTCAAAAATCAGACTAAACAGATTGACTTAATTCAAACCATTAAATACAACTTTTATCACACTAAAGAATTTAGGTATAAAGAAGACAAAATATGAATATTGTATTTAAGGCAATAAGGTAAGGATGCTAGAGATCATTTTAATAAAATCTTTTTCTGAAGATTTCTTGATTTCCTAGAATCATAATTTATTATAACCAACTGCTTTTCAGAGTAGCAAATGCTCATTTTGATAACTACAGGCAAAGATTTTATAAAATAACAGGCACATAGAAATGAACACATGTCTGCCATAATCAATATCTCTCAATGATTTTCAACACCTTAGTTTTCTTATTTAGCTAATTTTTCCAGGTCAAAAAAATGCATTTAGATACAGTTGCACCCATTTTTAATTCCCTCAGTAATAATTCTAATTCTTAAAACCACAGTAGCACAGAATTTCTTGCCAAATAATTATTCTATATTAATAAATTCAACTTTAAACTATAATAAAACAAAAAGTGGTCTCTTAGCACTAAGTTTTCTAATAATAACAACTGTCTTTTTAGTTTCCCACTTACTTCAGGTCATATACCTAATTCATATCCCCATCTGCTTCCTTAGTTTCTTTCATTTTAAAGTTTGTGTATGTGTGGAGAATCTTAGAGCAACTCAGTAAATCCTTATAAAGCATCCTTAGAAAAAACTAAAGAATATATATTCCAAGTTGTTGCTTAAAACCAATCACTATTTTTAAAATAGCTTTCTTGTTACAAAATATATGCTTAGAAACCAGAGATAAGCTAAGTAAATAACAGCCATAATCTCAATACCCCAAAATAAACATTTGTTTTCAATTTGTTTAACTTTTACTTAATATATCAAATATATTTTTATATGTCATTAAGTATTATTCCACATTATTTTAAAATGTGCATAATACATCATTGCACAGATAAACCAAAATCTTAAAAAATTATTATAGCAACTCTATTTGGAACATGTTCATCGTTTTTTATTTTTCACTATTATAAACAGTACCATGATAAACATATTTTTAACTACATCTTTATGCATAGCCATGATGAATTCCTGTAAGTGTAATTATTAGGCCAAAAGCATTATAAATTCTAAGTCTTTCATATGCATTGTCAATTGTCCTCAAACAAGATTTTGCCAATTTATATTTTCAATAGTTTATGAGAGTGACTGTCTCCCCATAGCTTCTTTATTAAATTCTTAGGAGAAAAATCATCTATCATTATTTTATTCATGTGTCTTCAATTACTAGTAGGAGTAATTTTTCTTATATTTATTGGCCATATTATTTCTTCTTTAGTACTTGCCTGTTGGTATCTATTGCCCATTGAGCCTTAAAGACATTTGACTTTCGCTTATTGCATTATTTTCTGACAAAACGCAATTTTTTTCTGTTTTTTTTTTTTTTACTTGTCTTTTAAGTTTATATGTGGTGATTTTTATGCATGGTTTAGTTTTTGTTGCTGTATTTTATTTAACCTACTAACTTTTGATTTCAAAGAAGTTTGCTTATATTTTTTCTACTACTCATTGTTTCTTTTTTAAAAAATGTATTTGAATCTGTGGTGCATCTGGAATTTATTTTGGCACAAATATGAAACATAAATTTAATTCTATTTTTTCCTCAAATTGTTAGCTAAATATTCCAAACTATCAACTTTTTTTTTAAAAGGAAAAAGTTTGCTTTCATTTTTAATTATAAAATAAAATGTTTATTATAAAATATTTAGACAGTAAAAGAAAAGGGAAGTAATGGGTGAAGTAAGATTGGTCATGTTTGAATAAGCTGGATAATGGTACTTTAGTTCATTATATTATTATCTCTATGTATGTTTGAACTTTTTCATACTAAAAGGTTTAAAAAATAAATGTAGCTCACATGCAAAAAATTCAAACTAAAGGTATAAATAAAAATAAAACCATATAAAACCACCATACAGAGATAACCACTGCTATCATTTTATTATCTATATTTCCAGATTTTTAAATGTATATACATATTTACATATCAACTTCTATTACAATGGATCCTACTATAAGTGAAGTTTTATAATCTACTTTTTAAACTAAATAATACATCACATACATCTCTCCAGGCTAGAGAATGTACATATCTTTGGTAATAAATACCTTTGTGTGCCCACCCAGACCACAAATGACCCTTTTAACTGTTTCCTCACCCTCTGAAATAAGCTCAGGCATTCCTATTTATACTTTTCGACCCTGTCCTCCAGGCTGCAGTTCCCTGAATCAAATTCCATCTGAGCAATCAAATTTTCTTATCTGGGAATTTGGAAATGGGGCTGGTCTCTTAAAAAGAAAAGTAAAATCAGGAGCTACAGAGTAACCACCTGCTTTTTACATGGTTGAGAAGCAGAGGAAGTCTACGCTGACTGAATAAAGCAGATACATAGAGAAGCTGCCTGGGACCCACATAGAGAAGCTTTTCAGATTCTCGTTCCAAGTCCCCCAGGAACCCACATGTACTATGTACTACACAATTCCATTATCTCCAGTGTTCAATAATGACTGCCGATGATCATTTCTAATTACATCACCTAAATGTGTATTTTTCATCTTTAGAACAAGTAAAACTGGTGCCCGGTATAAAGTTAATAGAGAATGCCTCAAGAAATACTAAATGAATAGATAGAATGCTAACAATTTCTGAAAGTAGAAGTCACATACTTAGAAGACTGTTCAAAATTGATACTGTACCATTTTAAAAAGAATAATCTTGAAGTATTGAGGTGAATATTAAAACTTAAAGATGATAGTTATAAATGAAGTATGCTGAATGAACAAAGAACAACTACATCTTAATCCCAAGACTCATAAATTTTCAATATTAACCTAAATAACACAGAATTATCTAGACACAACTATAATTTATCTTCTATTAACCAAATAACTACTTATTTTAAAAGAATATCAAGCATGGAGCAATCTGCTTTGCTATAGCTCCATTAGAGTTAGAATAATACCTTTGACCTACATTTTGATCAGCATGCACTAGACTCATGCTCTCTGCTATGAAACGGTGGTCAATAATGATGGTCAGTCCATCATTGACACATATTTGTCAGATTTCTCAACCAAATATTTGTCACTGTTTGACCCTAACATAAAAGTCAAAAGTTAGACTTATCTCAAATCCTAGTCATAGGCTATTAATGATTAAGAGAGAGTGTGTGACAGATCTTATCTTTAGGTAACTATTTTGTAGAGAGAATTTTGGGAAGAAAATTAACTCTTTCCGTTAAAAAAGAATGAGTCACACAATCAATCTCTGAAATAATTTAGTAGAGTAAAATAACTCATAAGCCACTGATTATAACATCTCTGACTGTTACAATTAGAGGATGTCACAATATCAAAAAGCAAATATACTATTTTATTGAATTATCAATTACATTTAATTCAATACATCATAAATTATTAATTTATGCTTTAAAGAAAAATATAATAATGGGTCATTTATGTTTAAAATATCATTTTTAAAATATCATTTTAAACATAAATATTCTATGGATGGCTAATAGTCCACACTTTTAAAATATCTAGAATAAAAACCTGGAACACAGTAACTTATTTAACAGTAACATTATGACTTGAAAGAGTTAATGCAACTCCCTAAAATCTGTTACAATCAGAGAGAAGTTTATTTATCAGAGTCTTTTGGATGAATAAAAACTGTAGAAGCTTCTCCAGAATTTTTTAAAAACATATCTTAAGAAGATAAAATCTTCACTAAAAAGGTAAAGTAGTATACCTGGGAATAATAAAAGCTTTTATTTTGTCATCATTAATTATAGAGGACTTTTCAGATAACCAAATTGTTTTTTCTTTTCTATCTAAAATATAACAGAAGTAATCTGCATAATATTCATTCATGATCACTTATATTTCAAATGAAGTCTAATCTCTTAAGATTCTCTTCATCTTAGGCTCATAAGCATTAATCATTTACCTAACTATAAATATATTAAATGTTTTTTGGAGTACTTACGTTTTTTCCTCTGAAGTTGAGGGTACCAGGCTGCTCCACGACCCCATAATACAAGTACACAATGTTGACCTTGGGCCTGTTCCACAGTTAACATGATTTTCCTTTGCTTCTGTCCTCTATAACTATATAATGTCTCTGGAAAAGAAAAGGAATATTTTAATTGGCATTACTCTCTCACCTGTGATACTGTGATATTTAATCATAAATATATAATGATAACCAAATGGTACACTAAGGAGATCTTGTATCTTTATTTTATAATCTAAATGATTACCTGTCAGTATAGTGATGTCAACAACTCTTAGCACTGCATGCACTAATATGTCAGGCTGAAGCTGTTCCAGTTCTACAAATTCAACACTGTTCATTTTCTGAGGCTGCCTCTGAGGAAGATCTCTAAGATAGGAATGTTTTGAAGACACATATGCCAGTAAGTCTTGAAGTACAACATCACTAATTATACTGGAATCTAAGGGGGGGAAAAAAACACAAACACACATAGAAAAGATGACGAAATTAAAATGTATATATATATAATATATATATATATATTTTTAGGCGAGGCAACTCTTGGTTGACCTATTAGATTGCAAGGACCTTGTCAGCTTATGATCCTTTACTTTTTTTATTTTTTACACCTACAGCACCTGGCCTTCCTAGGTGGTCTCCCATCCAAGTACTAATCAGGCCTGACTCTGCTTAAAAATTATATTTTCTTGACTACATAGTATTTTTTTTAGAACTGTTATTTTGTTGTAAGGTGTGATTAAATGTAAAACTATTTCATTTCTTCAAAACATGTATCTTATTCTTGAAGTAGTTTAGATGTAAAAATTAGCTTGATATTTTTAATCAATAGAAGTGGAATTATTTACCATCTCCAAAAATCTTACCCTGTTCCCTCACTTCTCTACTTTGTTATTAATCATTTTTCCACCAATTAACCAAGACCAATACTTCAGTTATTTTTTGACTCCTCCATTACCTTGCTATATTCAATCAGTTCCCTAATTCCTGGAGTCTGATTTGATCACAGCTTCCCCGAACTGGCCCAAACCACTGCCATTCTTCCTCAAGACTCTTAGCATGTCACATCTGAAATACTCTAAAAGCTGCCTAATGGGCTCTTTCGCTGAACATGCCTTCTTCTTCCCCACTTCTAAGTCTCTGTCCTCTCCACTTTCACTGGCTGCAAAGCCATCATCCTGCTTTTTACCTTTCCAAATACTACACAGAGTAACAACCACTATAGGCTACCAGTGATTTTTTCCTTTTCTGTCTCTCACTTGGTTTTGAGCATGTGTGTGCTACACTGTAATATTTCTCTTGAATATTAGTTATTTAATTCATCAGTCATTATGCCATTTAGATTTTTTTTTCTTTTCTGTCTCAAATTCTTTTCTAGTTTTTTATTGAGATATACTTTACATACAATAAAATGCATACATTTTAAATATACAGATTGATGAGTTTTGCTGATGAATTTTTAATTTCCCTGAAGGAAAGTGAAGTATGTTTGAATATGTGATTGATTGTTGAACAAAATAAGATCTTAGCAAAAAACACTCATGTACTTTTTAGTATGAACTGATTTCAGTAGAAAAAAACATGATTCTTCTTTCCTTCTCTCAGTAACATTCTCATCCCAATGTATTTCTTATAATAAAGCCATTTAGTAAGGCCTCATTTTTTACTCACTCATCAGCAGATCATTTACTATGTGACAGGCATTATACTTGGTGCTAAGGATACAAAGACATAACATGTCACCAACTCAACACTGACAAGAGAACAAACACTGGGCTTAAAGTATAAGAGACATATGTAAGCATTCCTAAGAACACACAAAAGGAACTACCCAGGGAAGTTAGAAGAGGCTTTAGAAAGGGAATATTGAGCTGGGTTTTGGAAAAATGTCTTAAGAGTTTTCTAGGTGGTAACTGGGGATAGAGGGTATATTTCCAGGTAAAGAGAAGAGGTTTGCAATCCTTTACATACCATAGATGCTTTCGGTAGGCCTATGAAACAAATTGATCCATTATCAAAACAGCATTTTTATAACAGCTTTATTGAGATTAATTCACATATATAAAATTCACCCTTTTAAAGTGTACAATTCAGTGTTTTTTTTAGTACTTCACAAAGTTCTGCAACTATTACCATGATCTAATTTTAAAATATTTTATTACAGAATAACACTTTAAGTGGATAAAAGGAAATACGATTGGCAAATCAATTATATGGCAATATAGTAACTGAAATATTTTTAAACTGAGATAATTTATGTGTCTCATTAATACATTAAATAACAAGATATAGCAGAGTATGTGACAACTACTGTAATTTCAAAGTATGCCAAAGTATCATGGGCATAGATGATACTCAAGTTATCTTCAACAACTGTGATGTGATATGAAAATCTATATGCTTTCCATTGGTTACCAAGTCAAAAGTACTGCTAATATTACTGTGGATTGTTACCTTATTTGTAATAGAAAGAAATACTAATTTCAGTTCGTGATTAGTGAAAATAAAGTCATAATGTCTTCACATCCAACTTTATGAACGCTTTAATGTAGAAGAATCAATTTTCACAGGAGAGTAGGAAGAACATTTGGGAGGTTAGTGATCATCCAGCAGGAGATGAAGAGCATTGGAAAACAGGTAAGACTGCAGGAAAGGGAAAAGGGTGACAGATTTGTGAAACAGTTTAGGGGTAGAACCCAAGAAACAATTAGAGGTGGAAGGTAAAGAAAAGATTAAAGATGGCATCAAGATTTCTAGCACAGCTGAGTGGATGAATAAAAACAAATGTGTTAAAGTTTTTAAAACCTGATAAATGAAATCTATTCTAATTAAGATTACATAATTCCTAAATGAATTTTATAAAACAATGGTGATAACACTATCAAAAATAATGAGCATTAGAGAAAAGAACAGATAGTATGAGAGATGAATGAAAGAGAAGAGTGGAGATAAGGAAATGAATTAGACTACAGCAAAACTCAACTTCAAATACATCTTTCCATGACTCCAATTTATTTACCAGATCTCCTAATTTTACTTATACCTGCTTTCATAAAAATTTATACAGAAACATCTGATTATTCAAATTCCAAATAAAATAGTCTATTTCATGAATCATTGTGTTAACCTTTGATTTATATATTTAAGATAAATTAATATTCTATCACATTATCAGGACTAGGATTGTAAAATAAGTAACAGCTCACTAGAATGACAAAAGAACATAAGGCTTTGCCAATAGTACAATATACTGATCAGAAGTAAGAATGCTCTCAACAGTTGAACTACTTGTAAAAGAAAAAAAAAGCTAATCAAATTGATTTATTCTTTCAGAAGAAAAACAGCTGCAATATTCTCAAAGCATCAACTGAAAACCATTTGCCTAAATCAAACAAAAAACTCTGAGAATACACTTTATTTAACTACTAACCTGTGAAAAACAAGGCAATGTAAACTACTATGTAAGTATAAAAACAAAGACTATAATGTAACCCAAAGGTTATCTAGTTATAATTAGTTCAAGGTTTTTCACAATTTCCTATAAAAACTTTAAAGTCCCCAGGGGTTCCACTAGATATTCTCCACCAGAATTAGGTCTTAAAATTTTTATGAAATTACTAAATTAGATCAGCCTTATTTGAATCTAAATCAGCCTTAAAACCAAAGCTATCTACAACATCTATCTCCTTAATCCCTCAAAAATATTTGCATACCATGTTATTTTCACTATTTCAAAACATTCCTTACCCTTCCATTGTATTAACAGCTATAAAATATCATGAATTTTACTTAAAAGACATTTAGCTCCTTGGAAATATGCTTTTCAAGATATGGCAACTTCAAATATTCATAATAAAAGATTAAATTTAAATCTTTAAAAAAAATCCTCAAATTAAGATTGACTGACTCAACTGGCCAAAACATAGTGTTCTTAATTATTATAAGTTCATACTAAATCCTATATCTGATAGGGCAAATTATTCTTTCCTGTTCTTCATTGTCAAAAATGTTCTGGCTGTTTTCGGCCATTTACTCTTCCATATCTCAGAATAATCTCATCAAATTTCATGAAAATCTTATTGGGACTTTGATTGGATTTGCACTGAATTCATAGATAACTTGAGGAGACTTGAAATCTTCACAATGCTAAATCTTCCAATCAATAAAGTATATGTTTTCAGGTCTTCTTTCATTTCTCTTAATTTTTACATTTTCTTTTAACAAAAGAATTAAATTTATTACTAGAATATTACTTAGTATCATACATAATATTGTAATGTTGCCCTCTATTTAAGCGTTACTAGTTGTTGCTCCACTTGAGAAATGCAATTGACTTGTGTTTATTAGTCTTATACCTGGCCAACTTGCTGAACTTTCCCATGATTTCTAATAATTTGCCTGAGTTTTTAGATGAAAAAATCCTATAAAAAAGAACCATTTTGTCTATAAATAATGACAGCTTTCCTCTTTTTTCCCAGTCTTTTTGGAAATTTCTTTCTTCATGTTTTATCTCACTGGTTAGTATCTCCAATACAATGTTGAGTAAAACTGGTAATAGCAGTACTCTAGTCTCATTTCTAATTTTTAAAAGGAATGTTCCTAATCTTTCTCTAATTAGGATGATATTTGCACTGGATTTCTTAAAGATACTCTTTATCAAGTTAAAATAAATTTCTTTGTATTCCTAATGAATGGGTGTTGGACTTTATTTTCAAATGCTTGGACTTTATTTTCAAATGCTTTCTTTGTATCTATTAAGATGACCATATATGGCTTTTTAAAAAATTTTTTAAAACTATCGTTAGACACAATAAAAAAAAATGGTGTAGATCATAAAGGCTCTGTTCATCACACTGGCGACCAAATCAAAGTTGTAACAGAAACAAAGAGGAGCAGCAAGGAAAAATCGCCTGGGATCTAGATGAACAAGCCATAAAACTAGGGAGAAATCCAAGAAATCACCCTGCAATGGCAGAAGGTAGGACAGGGCAAGGACGCAGGGCTGCCCGGTCTCAAGCAGCTGAGTGAGATGAAGGCTGCGGCTGGGGCAGGGACAGACGCCTCTTAAGGAGCTGCGTCAACAAGCAGATCTTCGCAGCAACGGCTCTGCTCAATCTTAGCACTAGTGCTAATTCAGCTGCACACGGGGGGCACCAGGGACTTACAGAGAGACACTGTCAGAGTGAGGGCCAAGGGGAGACTCGCTCTGTACAGAAGTGTCATTAGTATCTATTGTTCCTCTGTTGAGCCCTTCCCCATACCAGTGTGAGGAACACAGCACCACCATAGCCTGACGTCATCAAACTGGATAACAGAGGTCGCTCCGCCCAGAGGATTCCCTGACTCCTTCCCCAACTCGCAGCCCCACCTAAGCCACATCCAGGTATATATCCTCAGTGAGTCAGGTCCTCCTTGCTGAGCAGCACCTAGACTCACACTGGA